TCTATTTGCCACAAACGTCTTTAACAAACTCGGAGCAGTCTTTATCCATCCTAGAACAATAGTGGAGTCGCACCAGTAAGTGATTTCTTCGAAATCTAATTGCATGTGTTGTTTTACCTTGTCTATCAACTCAGCTAGCAAGTAAGCTCCACAAAGTTCTAGACGCGGTACCGTGAGAACGTGTTTTAAAGGAGCTACTCTGGTTTTGGAACAAAGTAGATGACAATGAAAATTTTCAAAGTTTTCAGATGAACGAATATAAATGCAAGCACCATATGCAGTGGTAGATGCGTCTGAAAAACTGTGTAGTTGAATTGACTTGTAGTTTGCACAAATTACATGCCTAGGAATTTGTAGCTGATTAAGTTTAACCAGTTGAGTCTGATATGTAACCCATTTTGTAAAGACATCCATGGGAACGACTTCATCCCAAGAAATTTTTAGTTTCCACAAATCTTGTAGAATAATTTTAGCTGTTATAGTTACAGCCGAAAACAAACCTAGTGGATCAAATATTTTTGATATAGTGGAAAGAATAAGTCTCTTTGTAACTTTACACATGTGCTCTATAGGTTGAACATTGAAATGAAAAGTGTCAGATTTGGGACTCCACAATAAGCCCAAAGTTTTGATAGTATCGTCAGCTCCAATTTCCAAGGAAACATTATTTTGATCATCAAAATTTAAAATAGGGGCGTTTGACTTCCATTTTTTCAATTGAAAACCATGACGAGACAATAATTCGGAAGTAAGTGATTGAATACGTTTGATATCTTCTATTGTAGAACCACCTGTGTGAAGATCGTCGACATAAAAGTCCCGTAAAATTATAGAAGATATGTCGGGAAAATCGGTTGCATACATATGTGCCACTTCTTGAAGACTAGTGGCAAGAAAACTAGCAGAAGCAGTACCGTAAGTAACGGTGTTTAAAGTATAAGTTTCGAGAGAGTTTGTATGATTAGATCGCCATATGATCTTTTGTAAGGAGCGTTCTTCCTCCTTTATCAGTATTTGTCGATACATCTTTTCTATATCAGCTGTTAGTACAAAATTATGTTTACGAAAACGTGAGATGATAGTGAAAAGATCATCTTGTAAATTAGGTCCAACCATAAGAATGTCATTCAGGGAAACACCTGAATCTGTATTGGCAGAACCGTCAAAAACAATACGAATTTTATTGCCTTTATAGACACAATGATGAGGAAGAAAGAACTCATAGCCTGTGGTTTCAAAGGATGAAACGGACATATGGTGTAAGGATAAATATTCATTGATAAATCGAGTGTAATCATTTTTTAATTCAAAATTCGCATTAAGTTTCCTTTCGAGAGAATAGAACCTTTTTGATGCTGTAGTCTTAGAGTCGCCTAGATTGTCGGCGGAAGATTTCAAGGGAAGTGATACTACAAACCTACCAGAAGAATTAAGAGAGGTTGTTTTTAAGAAGTGATCTTCACAAGAAAGTTCTTCGTTAGACAAAAATTTTGTTTTTGGGCATTCTTCAAATACATAGTAGAACATAATTAGAATAATCATTTAGAAGAGCCGCTTTTTTGATTTTTTTTATTTTACCATCTGTATCTTTCAGGATTTTACTTGAAACTTTTCATTGAACTACATGCTCATTTTCCCATGCTCGTTTATATATTTGAGATATATCAAAGTCTCTATTTTTGATATAATATTGATATTCACTTATTCTTAGATCTAATGGTCTTGATGTTTCACCTAAATAAAAATGTTCGAATTCACAAGATATTTAATAAATTGGTACAATTTTTGTTATTTCTTATTTATCGTTAGGTTTAATTTATATAGAATAGATCTCAATGTGTTTATTGTTTTGAATGTTGTTGAAATGTTGAATTTATTTCCTATCGTTATAATCCTTTTATGTATGTCATTGTTATTTTCCTCGTATTATTTCTTGTGAATGTTGAAGGATCCCCTTCTAAGTACTGTTCCATTTGGCTAATCTTGAAAATTCCTTATTTATAAACGACAATAGATACTTATTTTTAATTAAACAGCTCAAATCTAAGTACGAATTTTCGTTAGAACAAGTAATTGTGGCTCTATCTTATAAAAATTTAATGATTCTTTTTTAATACTGATGTTGTGATTTGTAAATTCGATATCTGTTGGTGTGTGTTGGTTTTTTAAAATGTTTTGGCAGAATATTGTGTAGTGACTACTTCGACCATTTCTTTCAGTTTCAAAACTAAATGTCTTTCAAACATTGTTTAAAGCATTAAATCAGTGGTTCTCAACCGGTGTTCCGCGGAACACTAGTGTTCCGCGAAATACTCGCAATCCTACATACCATTTTGCTAAATTACTCTTTTCAAATAAATATTTTCAAATTTTAAAATAGAAACTTTAAGTAGTACATTTTAATTTAATAAAATTCTGCAGCGTAAATGTTCATTTGCCCAACGTGACAACACCGCGTCGGCACAGTGCACACGTTGGATTTTATAAGCGCTGAGCGCTGAGCTCCGCAGTGGCCACAACCAATCTGAGTTACCCACGCCACAGTCTGCATCTGAATGTTGAATTTGTTACTTGCACAAACGTAATACGTGAAAATCGCTGTGTCAGTTTTTTTATGATAACGTTTACGTACGGCTTATCTATCAAAGGTAAGTAATTGCATATTTTATACAAAATGTGAAGCATTCATCCGCATTATTTTGTTTAGAGACGAATAAATTAAAATGGATAAGTTCCTCAAACTTAAAAGAAAAACTACTGTGGAACAACTCATAATTAATGATGATGAAGCGAGCACCAGCGGAGATACTGGAACTTTACAAAGTGGGGTTGATGACAAATCGAAGCGCAGCAAAATAATATTGAACCGGCAATATTTGGATGAATATTTGGATTATGGCTTCATTTGGACTGGGGAAGAAGACTGTCCAATTCCCAAGTGTATGTATGTAAGTGTTTGTGGGCAGACACTCGCTAATAGCGCAATGGCTCCGGCTAAATTAAAACGCCATTTTACTACCAAACACGCTAGTGTAGCTTCAAAAAATAAAGATTATTTCAAGCGACTTTTGGAGACACAAGCTAAACAAGCGAAACAATTTAAAAGGTCGCTAACAATTTCCGACAAAGCACAAATAGCTTCATATAAGGTCGCCGAATTAATTACTTTGAAACAGAAACCACACACTGTTGCAGAATCTCTTATATTACCAGCATGTTGTAAGATGGTCAAAATTATGTTTGGCAACGATGCACAAAACGAAATACGGAAAATTCCTATGTCGGATGATACAATAAGAAGGAGGATTGTTGATTTATCTGCAGATATTGAGGAAAAAGTTACAAATAAACTTTACAAAAAAAAACTTTGCATTGCAGGTGGACGAATCCACTGATATTAGTGGCAAAGCTCAATTATTAGGATTTATTCGATTTGTCGACGAAGGTGAAATAGTCAATCAGTTTTTATGCTGCAGAGAACTTATAGCACGTACAACAGGTCAGGATGTATTTGATTCCATAACGTCATATTTAGAGAAAAAAAAATATATCATGGGACTTTTGCGTAGGAATTTGTACGGATGGTGCCCCTTCCATGGTAGGCCCCATAAAACGTTTTTGTACCCTTGCAAAAAAGCGAAATGAAAATATCATATCTACGCACTGTTTCTTGCATAGAGAATCTCTAATTTCAAAAACGCTACCAGCTACTTTGAAATCTGTATTAGACCAAGTGGTTAATGTCGTGAATTACGTCAAATCAAGACCACTAAAAACCCGTCTTTTTAAACAACTCTGCATCTCAATGGAATCAAAGTATGAATGTTTGTTGCTGCACACCGAAGTTAGATGGTTGTCAAGGGGCAAAGTATTATGTCGAATTTATTAACTTAGAACGAAGCTGTTAACTTTTTTCCAAGAAGAAGGTAATGACACATTTACCACATATTTTGAAAATGATGCATGGTGCACTAAAGTGGCATATTTGGCCGATATTTTTAATTATTTAAATGGGGTTAACTCAAGTATGCAAGGCAAAAATTAAAATATTTTAACATCCACGGACAAGCTGTCAGCTTTTCAGAAAAAAATGTCATTTTGGAAGAAGCACATTTTAGAGACAAATAAAATGGATATGTTTCCACTGCTTCAGAATGAAGGTGATGAAGATAAAGAACAAGAAATCACGCATATAGTTACAGAACACTTATCACTTTTAGAGGAGACAATTGCCAGGTATTTTCCATCTCTGAACGTAGAAAAATATTTCTGGATAAGAAGTCCTTTTAGCACAAGTAATACAGCCAATTTCCAGTTTTCTCTGAACCAAGAAGAAGAATTTATTTCGTTGTCATCTGATCGTACTCTGAAAATTAAGTTTTCAGAAGTGAATGTTCAGGAATTTTGGATCTTGGTCCAAGAGGAATATCCACTTCTTGCCAAAAAAGCGATTAGTATTTTAATACAGTTTTCAACGTCCTATTTATGTGAATTTGGGTTCTCATCTTTAACAAACATTAAAAATAAGAAACGGGAAAGGCTGCTAAACTTAGAACAAGAAATGAGAGTAGCTCTTTCCCACATCAGGCCTGATATTGAGCAGATTTGCAAACGACACCAGGCACAAGTGTCTCACTAATTTGAAGTATTTACTCATATGATGTATTTTGAGAATTATGTGTTAATCCTAATTTGTTTATCAATATTGCATGTTATTGCTTTGGTGTTCCGCAATTTTTTTCGGTAATTAAAAGTGTTCCGTCGCCACCAAAAGGTTGAGAACCACTGCATTAAATGTACAACACCTTTCCGTAATATAAATATTTTATACAATTAGGCCAATGCAATCCTGTTCTCTTTTAAAATCAGAACTAATCGAAGAAGTTTCGGTTGCCTATAAATTGGCGTAAATTTCGTAAATAAAACAAATGTGCTTCTGTCATTTATGCGATCCAATCTAACCCTAACCCTAACCTTCTCCAAATGTTTTCTTAAAAACTGAAAAGTCACCGCATATTTTTGAATTTTAATGTCAAGTAAAATAGCGACTTTAGCTTTCCGGACTGAAGCCAAAAAATTCTTAACCGTTTTACGTAATCCGTTAGCTTATAACAGAAATAAAAATTGGTTCAGTGGAACTTCTAAAGTACCGTTAGGAAAGCAAAGCAGAAACGTCCCTGGTTCAGTCCCCTTCAAAAACCGTCGCACCAATCTCCTGCGCTTACCGCAATCGGTTGCTGTGTCAGTGGGGCGAAGTCAACATTATTGTAGTGAGTGGTTAAGTTCTATCAGTTATAGTAAGAGACGTTTCTCAGTTCAGAAAACATCGAAAAATATGCCTGAAGGAAAACCTTTTGAAAGGTTGCCGCAAAATGTTAAACCTAAACACTACCGCCTGTCCCTCGTGCCAGATCTTGCAGCCCTGACTTTTCAAGGAAATGTATCTATAGAAATTGAGGTAGGTCCTTATTTACCATATGCCGGTTTTATTTATGAAGCGAATAATATAAATATCTAATACTTGAAGAATGGTTTCGAAGGCATTGCCTAAATGTCCCTTAAATAATCCTTCAAAAAAATTTGAATTTCAAAATTTTGAAACCTATAATCTCACTTTTGAGGTATGCTAAAACTATATTTTTCTTTGGAATATTGATTTTTTAGTGCTCTATTTTTAAATTTCATTTTGCTCTATTTTTGTAAGTAGATTTTATTTGATCAGAAATACTGTAGTTACAATTTTTTTGTACTTATCTACAAATTCAAGTTACTAGATTTGTTACAAAGTCTAATGTGGAATTTTTACTAGAACTCAGTTAATTAAATCCTTAGTCAATTAAGTTCACCTTTCATTTTGATACAGTACCAATTAAACAGGCCACTGTGTTATTTGCCATTTTATCAATTCAGAAATTTTGAACAGAGACATGGGTCTTAGCAGCTAATGAATGCTTCATAAATTTTACAACAGCATTTTGAATTTCAAAATGTTGATCATATCAGAGGTACTCCAAAAATTTGCTGAATTTAAATTGTTCAATGAAAGAAGGAACTTGGAATTCTTTCTCTTATATAGTTGTCAACAAAGCTTTATATTCATTCTATCATATGTTACAGGACAATTTATATTATATTAAAATTTTCAGTAAACACTGACAGTAAATTTTGAGAAGGAAAACTGTAGATGTAATGTCTCATAAATTGCACTAACTTATTGTACCTAAATAAATCGGGTTTGCAAAATTTTTGAAGAAGGACTTTGTGAAAATGCCAATTTTGTGAAGAATTGATAATTTTCAGTTGTATTAGTTAATTACTTATACCAATATCATGATAGCAGTTATATTTGCAAAAATCAAACTTAGTAAGTATTATATATGGGCAAATTGAAGCACAGCAGGCTCAGCTGTATACTGTATATAATAATCTATCTGATCACTCCTAACATAAAATAGTATTCTTAAAAATCATATTAAAATACAATATCCAATTCAAGATACTCTTTGTTACTTAAGTATTATCTATTTGTAGTTTATGGACAGATTTGTACAAATTATTTCTGCCAAATTTGTGCCAAATCCAATATATCTGTTATTGTCTAAGCTAATTTGTACCTGAAGCCACAATGTTAAATGCTAGAGTGTGGCTTATGTGTTCTTTTGCTGCTCTCCTCACTTCCTATTTACTACAGTGAGGGAGTTACCAAAGAAAAGACATTCATTCAAGTTTAAAAAATCAATCTAATAACATGTATATAACCTTCTTATTTTTTTATGATTGTTAATTCTTAGTAATATTTTTTAAAGGCAATAAAATTTTTAAATTTTAAAATATTTACCAGTGTAACGATTGCATAAACCCATTGACTACAAACACACATGGTTATCAAATATCAAATCAGATATCATGAAAGTTATTTGCACAACTCATACATTTGTGTAAATTTATGATTAATGTTGCAACTTTAATTCACATTTTTAAATTATTTTCATATCTACAGGGTGTATCATATTGTTGCTATGGACCAAATATATTTTTTTAATGGGACATGGTATATTATTATTTAAGATAGTGTAAGTTGTATGTGAAAATTATTATTTCAAGGCTCTCTACATCCTATACAGAAAAACTTCAAATTCATTGTTCGCAGGCATAACATTTTGATATTGGTCCACTTTTATGAGGCCAGTCAAAAGAAAATCACATGATTTTCACATTTTTAAAAAAATAATGTTCAAAAGTAGTGAAATCAAAATGTCAAAATAAATGTGGTTTAAACTGATATTGTAAATAAAATAGCTTTAGAATAATAATACTCTGGAATGCAGCTTGTATTCTATTCACCATATTATTCTATATTGTTGGAGGTATTTTAAATACAAAGTTTTTCATGTAACTCCACATGAAGTAATCACTTTTATGTAATTCTGGTGAATCAGCTGGTCATAGAAAAAGTTGTCTTGCACAGAATTGCATAATGCAAAATTAATTTAGTGTATTAGGACCGTATCACGTAAAAACCACATTCTTTGGTGAATGTTGAGGGGAATATTTGTCAAGAATAATGGTAAATGATTTTTTTAAAAGTCTCAATGCACACGAACATTTACTGTGCTAATCTGAATTTGTATCATCTCCAATTATTCCACCCAAAATATTTACATACCAACAATTTTCACTATTAGTTACTAGGAAATACAGATTAGATATTGAATAATAATGAAAATTATGTTCCATTTTTATAAACAACTTGAACTTCAAAAGAGACAAAGTATTTGTTATGGTGATAAATTAATAAACAATTTTTCATACATTTGGATATACTTAGTATGTGTACATCATTCAACACTTTATATACAAAAAATAATTTTTTAATTTTATCAGTATACAAGGTGTTTCACAATAGACCATACTATGGAACTCTCTGTGTAACTAATTGGATTGACAATTTGAAACTTTATCCTTCTATGTAATTGTTGCTGGTCTACATGTGTAAAATATTTACATCTAGCTACCACTTATGATTATGCCGAAATTTACCAACAACTTTGTTATTTTTCATGGAATACCCTATATACTAGTGTTTTTCAATTCTGCATATAATTTTGGGCAGGTTTTGTACAAGATACCATGTACATGTTTGAATTAAAGTTAATATGTTTGTAATTAACTATGGTTTATTGACAAAAAACTATTGAAACAATTGTTTTCATAGATTTTCCTCCTTGTTTTATTCTGTCTAGGTTTAATTTTTAATATAGTTATTAGTTTTTAGCAGTAGTAAGCACTCTTTTAATGTAATAACGATCATTTAGTGTTTTAAAGGAGGTTAAATAAATAAATAAATAAAAACAGGCTGGTGTACTAGAGCCATTAATAAATTACCTGTGGTTAGATTGATAATTGGTAATGATAACATTGGCACATCCAAATCCTTAGAACAATAACTCTACACACACAACAAAAAACAAGTAGTTTCACACTGAAGATGTTATAATTAAGGTTATGGTAGATAGGGACAGACCCATTTGTGAGCCCTTCAGATACTTATACCTCCTAAGACGGGCTCATTGTGTCACCCTTATTATATGGGTTAGGCCTATAAGAATCTGATCTTAGAGTTTCTGGGGCTCAGGCTGCACCAGGCTCCCATGTCTGCCAGAATCAGTACTAGTTCCAAATCTGAGCTCTTCCTGCCATAATCCTTTGGTAACCTTTTGGCCCCATGGAAAGCCATGTCTCTTTATGGGTAACTCCTTCATTTGGCTTAGTTGTCTAAATGTCGGAAGCTTTCTGACCACCAGTGGACATCTTCTACAGTCTAGAAGAGGAAATTGGGTAATAAAACCCTTCGATGGCCCTACTATGGCCCAGGAGTTGTAGAATCTCTGCAACAGAAACTCCTTGAGGCTACCTCAACCACTCCAATTACAGGTTCAGGTCTCACAGATAGAGTGGATGATTGGCCAGGGTGTCAGCCTATTTGATCGCTCCCACATCTGTGTCCCTGTACCCATATTAAGTTGACCCTATTGGTCAGTTCAACATCAGCAAGTGCCCTGTTGCACACAAGAACCTTTTTGGGTGCTTCCAGACCCCTTTGCGCTGTTTGACTGCCGGAGCAGATATAGATTCTCCTGCCTGAGCAATCTTAATCTATTATCTCCTAAAATCATACCTCCAATCCTGTCACCATATATTCCAGCATCTGTTTGCTCATTAATTTTGGCCCATTTGTAAACCTGGTGAACCTACTGGGACAGATCAGTGCAGGTTCTCGTTCCATCCACTAGTCCCAGATAGGAAATTGAACCCAGAACTAAAATTGAGGGACCATGCTACCCTATACCATAGAAAGCACAGGACAACACTGGATGGCCTGTCTCTAAATGTCACAACGGTCCATCTGAAAAGTTGTTGCCAACCAATATCCATAACTCCCTGAGTGGCGGCTCCCGGCACCATTCTTCAACCAGCGTCAGGCCCACCTGAGGGACTGCATGCTCAGTTCCCGGGAAGGACTCCTTAACTATTATAACTATGTCTTCTGCATAGGCTTGGGCATACATACCTTATTCGGTCAGTCAGTGAAGAAGGCTGTAGAGCACCATGCACCACAAAAGGGGGTACAATACTCCTGAGGACAACCATGAGAGGCTGATACCCGAACGCAACAACCGTTCTGGTATGAAGCTATCTGCTTCTGAAAATGCAGGGCTCAGGTCCACCTGATTAAGCTGCAGCCAAGCCATGCCTTTCTGCATCATTACACATGGATTCAAAAGTAGCAGCTGAAGGCACCCTCGATATTCATGAAGATATCGAGACTGTATTGCTTCCGATCTAGCACACGCTCCACCCAGTAGTCAAGGTGACACAGTGTAGTCTCACACAGCCTGGTAGGGGCATTGACGTGCATGCAAAGGTTTGTCCCTAAGCGCTTCATCACATATGAACCAGTCCACTAGTCTCTCTAGAGCCTTTAGAGGGAAAGATGAGATACTGATTAGCTGGATCGATTTAGCAAGGGTATAATCAGTTTTACCCTTCTTAGGAATAAATACGATCCTAGTTCTCCTTTAGGGTAAAGGCATATACTCTCGCAAGATTCACACTGTGTGACTTACATATGCTACTATGCTACTCCAAACAGAGTATATTACAGTTTATTTCTACCTATAATAAGCAACTATTTATTTTGTAATATCAAATATATACTGGAAAAAATGTGCCGTATATTGTACGGGAACAAGGCGTTACTGCTACAAGCACAAACTTTGTTTAAAAAATCAGAAATTATTTTTGTCCACTTTTGTTGACTCCGTATTATTTAACAATATTTGAAATAACCCAGTATAAGGTTTGATAATGGCACTAGTCAACTTATGTCAATACTTGACTGATTTGTCAGTTAGTAATTTTGATTTATGGGTTTAAATTATTTGAATTTTGTATGAA